TTTACTTCTCGTGTTGTTGCTTCGCTTAGCTAACTTAGCTTTAAGGTTTCCAAATTATTAATAAACAAATTACATAATTACCAGTATTACAAGCACGTCATCCTTTCTAAACTTGAATATAAGAAGTTTCTTCTAAGTCTTTTAACATTAGTCATTGTAAAATAATAAATTATGTAACAAATATTAAAAAGGCAATAAGAACAATGGCGGGTATCCATACATAAAAATATTTGGAATCAAATTGCATCGTCTTGGAGTGAAAAAAATAATATTTTATTAAATCGGCAGTAAATGAACAGTATTTCCACTACTAGAATAAATTGCTGTTAAATGATAACACAAAACTGAAAAAGGAACTAAAATAATCAAATAAGCTTCTAATATTTTCTTTCTTTGCCTGGGCTTTTACTGACTTAGACGAAAGTATTAAAAAACGTAGATATTTACTAGAATTAGTTTTGTATGAATGATATTTTAAGACGCTCAAATTATACTTAACTACGAATTTGCCGTTGTTCGTTCTGGGTCTGACTGTGACTAAAATCAATGTCATCTCACATACTATTTAGACACTTTACCGTTAACCCCGATGATCTCATATCCGCGAGGGATAAAAAAGCGGATTTTAGAAGTTGATATACCTAAACGTAGAAGTAAACAGATAAATTGCCATTAAAGAACGGGTAGTTGCCCTTGTACTGAGGAAATGATACGATAGGAGAACATTACATTGTTTTAATATTCATCGTGTTCATGTAGTTTTTTTTACTCCCTGAGATGTACCAATTACTTTGTTTTAATGTAAAAAGTAAATGAGGTGCTTAGAAACAGAAGGCGGCATGAGATGTCAGTAAATTTTTAGGTTAAATATTTAGTACTGCTACCTTTTCGTTTTAAGTAGTTCAACGCCATCAACTTGAAAGAATACTTAAAAGGGCTCAAAGAAATCGCTCTGTGAAATTTCTATTTCAACTGTTATGAGTAATGAAATGTAATCTTTTATAGAATGCGAAATTTTACCGAAACCTCAGATGTTGCCGTTTATTAAAAAACACTCACAATCTTAAAAGTGTAACCCGTGGCATTTACTTCCTTTTAGAACGAAGTGTTGACCGAACCTACCAGTAACCAAACGGTTTCTAATAAGTAGTCTTGGTTTCGGTCTCGATGGTTGGTGTTAAGTTAGGTTTTAATTTAAAAAAAAAAAATTTTGGCTTTTCCCACCTCAGACAACATTATGAATTAATTGAGTTCACGAAATGTTTTAGTGTTAGGAGTTTATATCTATTTATTTTTAAAAGTGATTGCCCGTAATGTCGACACCATCAATCATTTTTGCCAGGTTTAAAAGTAGAAAATTTGCTATTCTAGTCTATTTATGTACACGTATATTTACAACAAAAAAAAGTTATGGAATAGAATATAAATATCTCTTTGTAATTGGACTAATTGCCAGATGGCATCACATTATAATTTTAGGAGAAAGAGAACCTACAGGTTCTCAGAAAACGAGAATGACTCAGTCTGGGAACCTGTGCGCAATCATCTTAACCTGCAACTGTACTAGAATTATTTAAATTACCAGATATTGTTGTTATTGCAACGTGTAATCTGTCTTTAAAGTGTATTTTTATGTTTACATCTGTTCATTACATTATGTATGTATTGTTGTATATTCTATGGAAATAAATATTATTATTCTATTATGTCTGTCTTTCCGTGTGGTAACGTATAACAACACGGAGTGTCACCATCCCTATTCATCACGTGGGTGCCAAGACAAAAGCACTGCAAAGCGAAGGAAACTGCAAAGTTTGGCCCGCGTGGTAAAGTAGGCCAAAACTGCCTTTCTAAGGAGAGGCCTTTCTGTAAACTGTTGAAGATGATCTATCTGTGTGCCAAATCACATCCAGATCAGTTCAGCCGTTCTGGGGTGACTGAGTAATAAACTTTCATCTTAACTTTCTCATTTGTGGCAAGAATAAGATTTATAATATTCCTGTACCGGATTGAATTCCTCGCCGACTTACCTATGCATAGGTTTATAAAGGAGACCTATGTACATTCACATATCTTCCATTTAGTAGTAGTTTTCGTTTCAGCTCACAAGGCTTCTCAGCTACATAAGCTGAGGAGCTGTATCTACACAATGAATTCAAGCGTCTCGGCCTAAATATCACTGTCGTGTTATTCACAAAGCGTTGGGCCAACACAAGTATATAAAATATCGCCTATGTATGTAGTCAAACCTTGTTTCCAATACATACTGATAAAGACCTTGTATACAATGCATACCGTTTCAAAGTGAATTTTCTTATTAAAATGTGGCACTGAGTTAAAACGAGGAAGTTTTAAGCGTGAAAGCTTATCTAGATCTTGATACGAAGATGAGGGTAGACTGACAATAATTACGTACCATGTGGCTACCTTCAGAAATTTGGAAATTTATATAAAACTGGCCAGTTCATATATTCAGTATCTAATGATGATAAATTCACTTCTGAACTTTCCTCGTTCCTTCCCGTTTGTGAACGATCTAGTATTCAATTTAGGCCGTGTTTATAAACAATCCTACTGCTGGTTACTTTTTCACAAGACGTTTAGTCAAACCACCTCGTTGGGTATTACCTTAATATATTTCTTTCTATCTTTTGTAAAGTCCCCCGCGACATAGGATATATATTCATAATACTGTTGGGGTAGGGAGTTGTCTATTAAAAAGAAAAAAAAACATAAAATGACTACCACCACTAAACTACTAACATTTATTTAATACTATTGCAATTATTTCTCTTCTCAATCATTTGTATGTTCTATTTTTGATTTTCAGTGAAAATATCAGACAAATACGCACATAATGAGTCACTTGAGGCTCAATAGCCTATTTGTCCCAACGAGTAAAGGCTTTTGAGGACATCCCGAGTTTATTGTCAGGTTTATTTGCGAGGGCCATCCACCCGAGGTCACTCCCTCGCTTTTAATCTTGTAATTAGACCTTTTTCAAATAAAAATCTTGCCAACATAATAAATAGGAAAGTCGACATTCATCAAACAGTACATTCTCGAAGCAACGAACAATCTAAATATGGAATCGTGCCAATTTATAAAAGGCAAAATATAAAGATTAATTCTAGTAGTAGGTAATATTAGATAACCATGGGTGACTGACGGATTGGATTAGTATTCCTAGTTGACATTTCCTACTACAATGAAATATAAAATAATACTTACGTTCTAAGACACATCATTCGCCATTCTGAACCCAACTAAGTATGGCTAATATTATTATACTCAGTTTTAAAATTGTATTACAAACAAACGTAGATACATTTTTATACATATACAAACTATTCCAGAATTTCACTATAGAAACATGTAAAATTAATTCAAAATTAAATAATTCCCATTACCCGTTAGGCTTCAGCATAACCTTCCGCGCTCATTACATACAAATACAACAATAGGTAACATTATGCTAGTGACTGTGATGTCACCCAAGTTTGAATAGTTAAAAAGTTTCGCAAATTCACCAGACCGTACAGATTGACAACGGCAACAAACCAAAAAAAAAAACGCGCCGTTTAACGATTTCAGGTCATATTTCCAATAACTAACTACGAGTGTGTTTGACAGTTGGTGAAGATTATCGATAACTGTTAACGAATCGAGCTATCTCTCTCTCTCAAGATTTGGCTGCCACTACGACTTTGTAAAACTTTATTTTCATTATTCTACTAACTGATGTTGATAAGGAATAGTCATATTTGCACACTATTATTTTTTATTACCATTACTTATATACCCCATTATTTATAAATATTTGACCAAATCAATTAGAAATAAAATTTGCAATTAGGATTTGCATATATTTGCACTTTGAGCCTAGTCATAATTTTTTTCTTTAATCATTTAAAAACTACATGCACAAAGGAGGATTTATTACCCAGAGCATTTACTATCACCAGTCCTTGGGTGATGCAGAAAAGCTAAAAGATAGTTGCAAATATGGAAATTAATATTATTTAATTCAATTCAAATTTATTATTTCGGACTAAATTAATATTATACAAATATTTATAATTTATTTAAACACGCTGCGGTCAAATACGCGACTATCAATAGGCAGTGGCGCCACCTATCTTATTTAATTTAAGTCATTTTTAGCTATTTAACGATTACTATATATAATATAATGAAATGGATCAAACCTTAGATAAGTGTTACTAAAATATAGATAGAATCGTAGGTAATAATCCTGGCTTAATATCGTCAATACCCAGCGTCAAGTTGCCTTGCAAAAATTCATTGATTCCGCAGATCAAGCTTAAGAAATAAAAAAATATATTTTATAAAACGTCATATATTATCTGTGACGTCGATATTACAAAAAAAATTGAAGTTTTCCTTTTAAGAACAGTTTAAGAGAATGTTTGTTTAGGACGTGGCCGCCATCGATCGGAAAACGGCCGCAGTGACAATATCGACATAGGTACACTGTATGAAACCTAATCTAGATATGGAAATTCGGCCGTACCTACCTGCTCATGGATCCGTTTTTAGTAAAACGAGTACATACAAAATGACAGATTCAAAGAGATCGGTGAGTATAGAAATATGTAACTCAAATATAGAGGCATTTTGCAGCTTAGGTAAGACTGTTTATTTATTATTTATTTATACTAAACATTAAGTTACATCATCAACAGCCTATAGTAGTCCACTGCTGGACATAGGCCTCTCCTTAGAGAGGAGGTTTTGGCCTACAATACTACGCTGTCCAGACGGGTTGGTAATAGGGTTTGTTTCAAGTTTTCTTTCTCTTTGCAGTGCGTAGTGTGCCCCTTAGTCGGCTCTTACGATACCCACGGGATGTATAGGGGTGGCGACACTCCGTATTCTTAATCCGTCGCCACACGGATAACATTAGGTTCTATTTTAATAAAACCGTATAAATCTAACTCAAGGAGCATGCTCTGAAAAACTAAATATAGATAGGAGTCATGTGTCGGGTCAGATTTAGTAGTATAGGAGAACATGTAGAAAATGGGCTGCCCAACTCTGAACTGGTGGGAGTAAAGGGGTTACGGAGAGAAGACCTTAAATCGGTAAGGAAGCTGGGTCGCCTCATAGCCAGATGTCCTGAAGAAGGTAGCTGCGGTGGACTACATGCGAAAGACGTAATACTGGTTCTATGGCAAATGGGTGAAACTTTCGTCTAGTAGTAAAGTATCTCTTGTCATTAATCAAGAATTCTAAATTTATTTACAGCAAATGCAATCACCTCGTATGGGATATACATAAACATATTATTCAGGATATGGAACATAATGATAAAACGACAAAGGGGTTGGTGTCTAATACGGAACTATTCTAAATAACTTCTCCATGAATTTGAAACAAGCAGAGCTGGAGCAAGTTAGATGCTAATTAAAATTAGTTATTCACAAACAACGATTAATCCGTAATAACTAAAAGTCATAACTATACTGATATGAAAGTAATGCTACCTCAGAATTAACTGGAAGGCTAAGGATTTGACTCAATAGAAAAACTTTTTGTCACTGGAATTCAATTTGAAGTCTGCAATCTAGTATAAATTTATTTTATATAACATTCTATAAAGTTTATTCTCAACTGTAGTCTCATTTCTCATGAGACTAGAGTTGAAACTTGAATACTAGAAATTAAATATTCTTAATTCTATTGATCCCGTCCATATTCAAATATTACCCTTCAATTCGACACTCTATCTACAACGGAAAATCATATATAACCCAAGAATTATCTTCAAATATCCATCTTCTGTAGGAGGAAAAGAAAAGTAAACTTTCTACTCCTTATCGATTCGTATTCCCCTTAGATACTTCAGTATCATTGTACCACCGCCTGCTCCATTCGACAAGAGCCCAAAAAGCGTGTTATTCATAACGATATTTTGAAATATGGAAAATTAAATGGCTTGCTTTAACAGGACTTAGTCAGTACCAGACGACCACGTGGTTTATTTGAATATTGATTGGTAAAGCAAATAATATGATGACCTTACGATAACAATAAACCGATCCAACAAAGTTCACGTATAAAACTGATCGGAATAAATTGTTAAATATCATCAAAATTTGAATCAAATACTAATGTTTATTTTTAAAATCTTATTTAATTATATCTGAGTTCAGTATAAGACTGAGTTGTTGTTATTTATGCTTATAAAAAGACATAATAAATAAAATATCACGTTTTATGCGCTGCCATACGACAGTGCTCCTTCAGTTATCAATATAATACAATTTCGATTATACAAAGACATAGAGCAAACCGAGGAATGGAAAAATTACTTTTAGGGGAAATACTTCAGGTAGAAAGTACTCTGTAAATAAAAATATAATATTTCAACTATTGCTCCTTTACATGTTTGTTACAGTTCAAAAAAAAGCTCTATTATTGATACTAAACCTTTAAACCGCAGATTATTGTATTTTGATCCCAGGATTAGTAATTAAAAATCGCACAGATAAAGAATAATATCCTACAACTGACTATACCATAGGATTTAATAATACGCCTATAATAGTGGGTAGACAAAAATATGTGATTGCAACCCTCAGATTTAAATTTAAATTAAAGAAACTAAAAATTCAGTTTATAAGACCGCAAGGACACGAAGTTCTTATCGTCGTTATTAGTCTACGTAGAGCAATAGAGTCGACGAGTTCATTTTTTTTTAAGATTAAAACACATTTACTCTATTACCTATTTGACCCTTAAAATGAGTTTTTCCTACTTCAGGCTTAAATCGTTTTATCGGGCCGGAATCTACCTAGCACTTTTTTTCGTGTCATCAAAATTGTAGAGTTGGACCATCGCACCGAGGATTAAATTACAGCGCGTTTGGTTGGTTGCTGTTATTATTTGTTGGTGGTGGTCATTTAGAAGTTTTGTTTTGACTAAAAACTTCTTTAACACTTTTAAATCAATATTATCTCATTATCCTGCTATCCATAATATTGAAATTAAACTAGGCTCCTCTATGACAAATCATAATTTTGGAGGTTCTTGGTTTCTTAATTCTTTTGAGATGTTGAATACAGGATTTCTTCTGGTACTTCAACTTTGACAACCAAGAAACAAAAGAATAGTAGATACTCGACGAAACATTAACAGTTACATTTATGAACGTAATAAGATAACTTGTAACTAGACCTAGAACTAGGTACATACCAAACACCTAGACCAAATACCTAGAACTAGGTATTTGGTATGTGGACACCACCCAGACGAGAACACGACTAATGGTTGATATCGGAATTGAAGAAGGAGACGTCATACACACATCTACATGCTTCGCGAGTAGGAAGCAAGTAAATTACCTAGCACCGAGTTTTAGCCCCAATACTATCGATTCAGTTAATGGAATAAGATCGTGCTTTCATTTCTTAAATAGTAATGACGGTCTGCCACTATTTACCCTAATATTTACAATGATTTATTCCTTGCACCCTTCAGTTAGACAAGATTAGCAGGCAGAAGTCTGCATTAGATCAAGATCTGCAAACCGCACACATAGCTGACTGACAAAATTAATAAAGAGTAATAGATACCCTCAGAACCGAATCGACCAGCTCATGAACCCAACATACTTGATTTAGTATATAACAACATAAAAAGAAGAAAGATAAATAAACGAAGCTCAAACTTAAGACTCAAATATTTTACTTAAAGATTAACATAGCAAGAGAAACGACCAAAACACTAATTACACAGCACATAAATACAGCACGATTGCCGTAGTTAGTCTATATTGAATATTTGCCAAAATCGAATCTCATCTCTTCATCGGGTCATTTGTGCAAACATTATTCTGTTTTTATTTTGGTCTCGTTTAATTTAGTTTAAACAATTTAGTTTTAATGTATACAAGACTTGAGGTTGAATGCATTGTATTAAACAAATTGTGTAGGTACAACAAAAAAATTGAAGTAGTTTCTATCATCAATATTTACAATATTTTAGTCCAAAAATTACGTTAGAAAATCTAGCCTATATATGTATCCGGAATAACAAAGTGAATCAAACATATAGCATTTATTAGTTTCATTGTTTTTCAAATTTTTTGACCGTTGGAACCAATTTTCGTAGCACTTTTTCTATTCTGATTGTAGCTTTTCCAAAACGTGCATTTTAAACGCATCAAGAGCCTCTTCACGGCTCGAAAAACGTAAGTCGTTGGGAGCCAAGGCAAGGCAGTACGACGGATGACTCGTTAATTCGCTCTTTTGATCTTCCAAATACTGAGTTGTTTCAGCCGATGTGTGGCAGCTAGCATTGACATGATACTCATCATACTTATTCCCAGAGATGCCTCTATCTCGCGATATGTAACATGACGATCTTGCATTATTAGTTCCTACACAGCATCAATATTTTGATGTACAACAACCGATTTAGGACGACCTTCTTTAAATTCGTCCGTGAGCACAGACCGCTCTCAATTAAACTCACTAAACCAGTGATATACAGTTGTTTTTGATGGTGCTTCGTCCCAAAAGTCGGAGTTGAACGATGCACTGTTTTTGAGTTAGCCCTCGTCGAAAATCGTAATAAATCGTACCACGAAAATTTTCACGAGTTAAATCCATGGTGATAAAGACACGTAATTTTCAAAATGACGCCACAAAGGATTAACACATGACAGCTACATGAAACAAATTGTATTCTTCAGCCAAAAAGTTTCATTTTTAAATGTTATGAATACTTTTTAAATATTTTTCTGTAACTGGCCAGTTCCGGATACATAAATAGCGGCCCTCGTATAATCAGTATATATATATAATACAGTTCAGATGTTAATAACTATTAAATTTCGAAATCACAATCGAATGCAAAAAGATTATTACAAGTTCGACTGATATTTGAAGGGATTACCCTCATACCCTTATTATAATAATATAGATTGAGAGCGGATTTGATACCTTTGTGCTTAGGGATCCGGAAAATCTATTCCTATTTCAATATTTTTTCCCCAGCTGAAAGGTTTATTACACAACATTGACATAGGTTATACTCCTATCGTAGATAAGTCAAAGAGTTAAGAATAAAAAACATAAGACTTACCTATACAGTGTTCCCGAGTGTATTTTCTTCACGCCATCCATGTTTGCTGTGGTTTCTTTATCATGTCTAAACTCAACCGGCTGATACCCTAATGGTTACTTAATGTATTAGAACGTAATGTCATTATGAGCTGCCCCGATAATACTGATGTAGACACAATTCACCTGCAACAAAACATAAAAACTTGTAACATAATACTGTGACTTCAAAGTGGAAACTAGGTCCCAGTTCAACATTCTCATTTTGCGCAAATAAATGTTGTTATTACATTATACTTGAAATTCACGAATGAAACCAACGGGACTTTTTAGACATTTTGTTTTGCGATGAACTAGACAGACGGTTTGTTGAATGTAACTAACTAACTAGAAATTTTAAAATATTTTCCCTTGGTCTTTTTTGCTGGTGAGGGAATAATAATATTAAAATGTGATTAAGGAACAAACATCCTTACAAACTCACATTTAAAGTAATTTACTTCTTAAGCTCATGTGGGGTGTAGATTACCATGATTATATTATAAATTTCATCCAATTACATCCGATATATATATTTATACGTCTTTGGATTTGAAAGATCACGTGGCACAGAGATCGCTAGGACACGTCAGCTAACAACGGATTTTGTGACAGGACCGGATAAAGGTCTAAGGGCCCTCAAGCTAGGTTTATAAGGAAGTTCTCAAATAAAATTGTAGAGGGGAACCGAAATTCACCGAGTCATCTAGTTTCTAATAAATATTTAATAACAATTAGAATAAATGATAAAAAGGCGACTTAAGTCATTATTTACTTTATGATTTCTTTGTTACATTTTTATTTTAGTTCGTGAACAAACTTTGGCCTACGGTAATTTGAATATGTTCCCCAAGGATCTACAAGAAAATATTTCTGAGATAAAAGTTGCTTACATTGTTGGAGAACAGTTTGACAGTGTCATGAACTTTGACACAATATTTCATTATTTCTCTAAAATACACGTGTACATGAATGTTATATACCTAACTAAACTGTATATTTGCCTAAGGCGATGAGTAACTTGTTATTGATTTGAATAAACAATATGGTGTCAGCTATATTGGTGTAGATGTAACTCATAATTACGTACGATAATATTTATTTTCCAAAATGTATTTATATTATGATGGTATTTAAAAAAAAAATTAGAACCTTGGGCCGATATTTTCCCGAACTATTACCGCGCGGTGGCAGGTTATAGGTTTTCAGCCAAGAAACAACCACGACAATTTAGAGACAATTAAGAAAAAATCAATTCAGTAAATCATTACAGGCACCTCACAATCGTTAATAAAGCTAGTTACAACTTGTACTAAAATTCTTAATCAATTCTTATTAAACCATCTTTATAATGAAGAAAAATTAATGAGCGTATAAGAGCGAAAATCGCTTGCGCATTGACCTTTGTTTTTCTTATATTATGTACAGTAATATTATGAAGATATTAACATTGCAAATGCAGCTTTAATTTGTCAATAAAAAGTAATAGATTTTTAATGACAATCCTCAGTGCAATTTAATACTCGTACACTTTCACGCGTCTCACGTAAAAGCATGTCATCAAAGTTTCTGGCTTTAAGAGACACCTATGTTAATTGAGGCTTTTAAGAAAGTACTCCACAACTGATCCCGCTTTGGAGTCTCGAATTGGTTCAGTACCTCTATGGTACAGAAAACCGCGGTTTGGTATCATTACTTGCGCAATGCTTTTTTTCTTTGGTGGTGAGTAAGATCATCAGAACTCCACGAAAGAAGCTAGGTTGTTGATAATGCTTAAGTGACACCATTGGTGACGCGAGCCATAGCTATCGTAGCTACATGTAGCAGTGGCAGCAACTGTTTTATGTATTTCTAAGGGGCGTGTTTAAGCAACTTACATATAATTTAAGCAAATTACTTAAAATTTAACAGCTGCTGAAGTAAGAAGTTTAACTTCAAAAATATACTTAGTATGATTGAAAAAATACATTTTACATATGTGCAGAATTGGATTTGTAAATATTTTGCAAATAATTTTCGCACGTATGATTAAAACAATTTTACTTGACGAAACAAAACGAGAACCGCCACAAGTGCTTTAATTTTTTTGTATAAACTCACAAATGAATTGAATTTCTTTTTAATACATCGTATTTTAGGACTTCGTGTCGTATGATATAAATAAAACATACAATTTTATTACGATACTTGAAGTCTTAGTAGAAAAACCTAAGTTCAACAGTGCACGTGTTTATGGTTGTACAGCAATTAAACTAAGTTGACCACGTTTATTTACGTTTAGTAGTTACGGCGACGGTAAATTCCAAATCAGTTTATTCCTCACAATTTTAATACTACATTGTAAGTTACGATTATTATCATGGTTTAATACCTAAATAAATTATTTTTAAACGCAATTTTACATTTTTTATGTCCGATAATACCTGGAAAACTAAATTATGTACTGCAAGTAAGGAATTTTAAACTACTACTATTGAAAATGCAAGAAAATATATTAGAAAAAAATTGTATGGAATATACATTTCAAAATTCTGATAGTATAAAATGTAGGCTTTTTTCCGCTTTTATTCAGGCAGACAGTGTAGCCTTTTTTTTTTTTTTTTTTTTTTTTTTTCCGTGCGGAAATCCCCTCGGATACCACCTGTCGGTGGCATGTCGGACTCGAACCGACTAAAACCGCACGCCTTCGCCGGGTACTAATAGCCGGGGAACCAGGTATACCCTAGAAAGGAAGGCCCTGGTGCCCCGACATACCTCGGGTCATCTACAGACGAGTAGACGACCCCCGCCCCGTGTGGGAACCCCATGTTCCCTGTGCTCCCTGGAAGCGAGCGCGCTTCGCAACGCGCTCGCCGCCACCCCGGCCTGCTTCTGCTAGGGTGACAGATGGCCTCACCTGTCACCCCCAGGCCTGCGCTTGGTGACAATCCTGATCTGAAGAAGATTCACAAGCAACCTTTTTAACTCTCATCAGCCATTCCGCTGAAAATCAAGAAAATTGATAGAATTGTATGTTAATGTACTGGAACACTTTTTGTTTTCGCATAAAGTGTTCCATACTTTTTCCCCCTTTTGTTCAGGCAAAGGTAACTCGACGAGCCTAGTGACGATCCTTTGAAGAAGTCCAGATTCAAAAGCAACTTTTTTATTCTAATTTGAATTTTGTTTACATCCCAGTCCGTACATATGATACTTTGCTTTCCTTTGTCCAAGCGTAATTTGAATATTTTCGTACAAGTTTAAGAAACAAGTTTTTTTTAATAAAGCTTGTATATGCAGTGATTATGATAAGACATAACAGCTCTTAGTATAGTTTAATTACCAAATTGTATTATATTATCTAATAAGGTTCTAATCAAATAGCGATCAGTCTATATTTGGACTAAGCATTGATTACTAAAATAATATTGATAACCAACAATTACAATCTGTAGTTAATTTGGAACCAGATAGGCAGCTATCTTAAAGTTTTGTTTGTCTAACATACGCACATGTTAGACAATCAAAACTTTAAGATAGGATTAGATGTTGGACTGGTTAAAAAAAACTTTAATATCACTATCATATAGGCTTCTAGGAATAGTAATGTAATAAATTACTTTATAAATAATAAATTCTTATACTAGTTTTATATATGACATTATTATAGTGTTTTTTAATGATACAGGGGGCAAAATAACAGACAGGTCACATAAATGATCTGCCACTTAAGACTCACAAGTAGGGATGGAATAAATTCAAAATGACATGTGATAAATAACATGATTTATAAATCATATCATTACAGCTGTGACTGATTTACAAAACTACTGCTACTTAATTTTTATTCTTAGGCTAGCGCACAACTCGCGAAAGGTCTAAAAAAAGGTCGTAATTTTGGACAAAAAGAATTTTGGGTGATTTTAATGCCATTTATGTTTGTCTATGACGAAATAACAATCACATGTGAAATCACTGTGACTAAAACCAATAATTTCATCAAATGAATATGATTTAAAGTAGCAATAATTTTCATGTCTACTCACAAGTGCTTTGCTTGACGATCGAGGTTAGAATACGCTCTTTTCTCTAAGGATTGAAGGTCTATAATCACAGTTCTTTGCAATTTTGTGAGATTCTATTCCATAAATAACCATTGGATATAATTTTAACTAATACATAAACAAATGCCATCATAACTGAAATGTTCACTGTTCAGACTAAGTTTTTTATCAATTTCCGCCATAAATTGTACATACCTCCCGGCGATATATGTACGTATAATATTTGTCTTGTAAGAAAAGAGTGCATTGACTTGTTATCTCAGCGGGCAGTCGTAAAAGTTGACCGAAGGAAATGTCCAGTGCCGTTGTCAGTTTACAACTAACCGCGGTATTCGTGATTGTACTGAACTTAACTTAATATTTTTTGCCAACAATAATAATAATCTTTTTGCAACATAATCTAAATATATTTGTACGTATCTAAATATGAATATGTGGTACTATAAAAACGCTGTTAATCGGCAATTGCTACAAAAAGAAATGCCATGCTATATTTAATAATACGACTATTTAATTAACTTCAACTTAATAATAGAACACAGTTTTAATCAACAACTAAATTTTGAGAAAGAAATAAAAAGTTTTGGAGTCTGCTTCAGGAACGTATGCGTCTTGTGAGCTATACAGCCAACAGGGATCTCAAGCCTTAAAATGGCATCATTTATCAACTCCATCTGGTGTTATCCGCCTTAAAGCCACCTGTACAATAATAACACAAAAAGTTTGCAATACTATTATAATTGAAGCATAACCAAAATATTCAACACATGACATGCTACGCCGTATTTATTCATAAATAGAATATTTTATGTGGACACAAATTCAATTTACATGGAATACACAATGTATCGTCACAACAGGGCTAATGTTTCAAATAAAAACAAACAAACATGCCTAACATAAATGTATTGAATATTTATTAAAACGTATAATATAACTTGTATGTCAGTTCCATGAAAAATGTAAAATTGTCTTCTATGA